TCGGCCGGGCTGGCTGCACGCAAGGCAAATGCCCTACTGCTGTGCTATCACTCCAGAGTACCACCAGATATGGCTCAAAAACAAAAGATCATGATTCCATTTATACAAAATTCAGGAAAAGTTGACGTCTGCTGAGATCGAATCCCAGTCTAACACATGCAAGGCAAGCACCCTACCCACTGTATATTGCTCCATTCCCCACCTCCTTTTTTTGAAAGTTGATGAATTTGTGTGTGTGTGTGTGTGTGTGTGTGAGAGAGAGAGAGAGAGAGAGAGAGAGAGAGAGAGAGAGAGAGAGAGAGAGAGAGAGAGAGATGAGGGTGTCAGTGTTGGGGAACCTAGAAACCTAGGAAACTTCCTGTGCACACTTTGTTTTTTGGGTTTTTTTTTTTTTTGCTCTTTTTTTTTTCTTTTCTTTTTTGGCCCACACCTGGCAATGCACAGGGGCTACTCCTGGCTCTGCACTCAGGAATTACTTCTGGCGGTGCTCGGGGGACCATATGGGATGCTGGGAATCCAACCCGGGTCGGCCGCGTGCAGGGCAAATGCCCTACTCACTGTGCTATCTCTCCAGCCCCCCTGTGCCCACTTTGGGCTGAATACTGTACCCAGACAGAGAGAGATTTTCTTCTTTTTTAAAAAATTCAATTTTCTTAAGACCTGTACAGTCTATTTCTACCAATTAAAAGAGCAAAGTGCTGGGCTACAGTGATAGCACAGTGGGTAAGGCATTTGCCTTGCACTCAGCTGACCCGGGTTCGATTCCTAGCCTCCCATATGGTCCCCCGAGCACCTCCAGGAGTAATTCCTGAGTGCATGAGCTAGGAGTAACCCCTGTGCATCATGGGGTGTGACCCAAAAAGAGAAAAAATATATATAAAAGCAAAGTGCCAAGTGCTTACCATACTGGTCCCTATCAAAGTCTGAATTGCTCTAAGCTCCCCTCAACTTACTGGCTTTCTCATCTTTCAAATCATTGTTTATCTCCATACTCCCAGGGCTGTTAAACCCTGTGCTTCCTCAACACATAACGCACAGCTCAGAACAAATAGCACTGAAGAAATAGTAGTACTCCTACATTATTAAAAAAAAAAAATATATATATATATATAAAAACAAATAGCACACAGCACATACCTCATAGCACATAGCTCTGTTCCTACTGGAGCAATCATCACAGAACTTAATAACCTTTTTTTTCTTTTGTCACACATGGCCACACTCAAGGTTTACTCCTGGCTCTGCACTTAGGAATTACTTGTGACGCTCAGAAACTCGGGAAACCATATGGAAAGCCACAAATTGAACCTGGGTCAGCCACATGCAAGCAAGTGCCCTACCCATTGTATTATCGCTCTGGCTCCCGCATATAGTGATTCTTAGCAGTCAATGTGGTCTCCATCCAGAAATGAGTTCAGGACAAAGGCAAAAGCTCCATTCTATAGAAGAGCTCAGACTTGTCTTATTTGACCACCTCAATATTTGCATGATTCTTGGCAAACAATATACTTAAGATCTGAGTTACTGAAGATGTTCTTCCCACCTTGATCCTTTCTATGTTCCTACCTGATCTCTGAGGCTTTTATTCTCCACACCTTACCTTGGTGCCAAAATATTATGAACCCTTAAGCAATTGTTACATGTTTATGTGAATAGTCATAAATTTATGCCCATTTCCTTGGGCATCATGGGACCGGTGGTTATCCCATTTCCTTGCTGGTCTTTTCAAGCACTTACCCTATATGTTTCTTCTTAACTAAAGGATTGGAGATACGCTGAGTAAATTGCTTTTAGAGAGTAGCTTTTCCTCCTTTAGAAGATGTCAGAACTGCACTGACCCTTGTACTTTTTTTTTTGTTTTGTTTTCTGGGTCACATCAGGTGGTACTGGGGACAATTCCTGACTGTGCATGGAGGTTGCTCTGGATCAGTACTCAGGGTTGCTCCTGGCAGTGCTCAGGACCAAGCAGTGACAGCAATTAGACCTGGGTCATCTGCAGCAGAGCACATGCCCCAGTCCTTTGAGTAATATCTCTGGCCCTCTGGTCTTTGCCTGATCTATTGTGTCTTTGTTGTGGAAATTCCCACAGCAAAAAAGAAAACCAAGGCAACATATAGGCTGGAATGGGTACGGTGGGTAGGGTGCTGGCCTTGCACACGGCCAATTCAGGTTCCATCCCTGGCACCCCATATGGTCTCCCGAGGCCGCCAAGTGTGATTCCTGAGCACCAACAGGTATGGCCTCAAAACAAAAAAAAATCTAAAAATAACCCAAACAACATGCCTTGATAAGTGGGAAAACACTGGCAGCAGGCCCAGTTGAGCTCATGCTTCAGAACAGGGCTCAGAATAAAGGCAAAAGTTCTATTTTATAGGATATCTGGTAGGAGTTGGGGCATTTGCAGGCAGTTGGCAGGAGAGTACAGAAACAGAAATCCCAGTGAACGTTATTTTGCAAAGCAGGATCTGGACCACCTCCGGGATGTGAGCGTATTTGGGATACAGTCACCAAGGTCACAAAGTGAGACTCTGACCTTCAAGGCCATCCCAAATGTCCTCCGTGGTTATGTTATGTCTCCCAGACTCAGCTGTCCCTTGGCAGCTCCTGCTCTCTGGTGTTAGTATACTTGAAGTGAGCCTGTTGGAAATGTGGACATAGCTGTCTCTTTCCCTCATCATTTTTACCCGTGGTCTGTCATATGCAGGGTCACACTCTAGCCGAAGAGGCAGCCACCACCTCAGATAGATTCACTTACTCTTTTTTAAAAAAATTATTATTATTAAATCACCATGTGATACATAGTTACTAAGTAGTTCAAGATTGGGTTTCAGTCATACAATGTTCCAGTACCAGTGTCTTCACCAGTGTAAATTTCCCACCACCAATGTCCCCAGTTTCCCTCCTTCCACCTTCCACCCCCAGTCATTATGGTTTGCAGTACAGGTACTGAAAGGCTATCATGTATATCCTTTTACCTACTTTCAGCACTCAGTTATTTTCCACAATGATCATTTACAACTGTCATTGTCATAGGATTCACTTACTCTTTGAACATCCTCTGGAGACAGAACAGAACAACTGATGCCCTTGGTCAGGCCCTGCATCCCGTTGGAGCTGATATTGCTGCCAGATGTTCAAGGTTAAGTAGAAGGTGGATAAAGGGAAATGAATGACAAAACATCCAAATGTTGCAAACAGAGAGGGAAAGTCTGGATTTATAAACCAGCCCAAAGACATGAAGTCAGTAAGATGAAAGACCCATCTCAGGAACCTTGAAAAGGTTTTGTGTAAGCAGAATTCCAGGCCCAATGCATGGGTGGAAGGAGAGGCTCCAGGAATACATGGCCAAAGGCTGAAGTAGAACTCAAAAAGGGGCCACCAGAAACTCGATGCTTTTCTTCAGGAAAAGTCCCATTAACCCTGATTTACAAAGAATTTGGGGCAAGGGTGGTTATAGGAAATATCCATACATCATCTCTCCCCCCCAAAATCAACCTGGATTCTTTCCACTCTGGAAAACTCATGTTCTTTTTCTCTCCCCCTGCCCCTCCCCCCACACACACCGAAAGAAACTTGTTTAACTTCACTATTTGTCTCCTCCTGAAATGTTTTTGTCTTCTCCTGAAATGCTTTTCTGTGAAAAAAAGGTGACAGATTTTAGAAGCGGGGGTAAGATTTAGGACTGACTTTCCTGCAAAGAGCAATTCCCCGCTCCAGCCTGGGTTCCACAGCTTCCTGAGAAATCAGGTGCAGGGATCATTTCTCACATCGGGCAGAACAACTGGAGCCAGGTGCGGTTCGACAACCACCTGGAGAGGACTTGTGAGACATGAGGTTTGTACTGGGTGGGAGCTCAGAGCAGACTCCTCAGTACTAGGTGTCCCCAGGAATGTCTAGGGGGCTGGGATGGGGAGAGCGGGAAGCAGTAGATGCAGTTCTTGAGGCTGCCTCTCTCCTTCCTGCCTCACATAAGCCGCCTCCCCCTCAGACCTGACTCTTTTGGTTGGGGTCAGAGGCCCCCACCGGCAACACAAGGGACCTGAAGTGTGACTAGCAGAAGGGACAGCATGTTCAAAGATCTTAAAGATCGCGCAAGGAGCTAAAACATGGACTGGCATGGTGGCCCCAGTGAGGTTGAAGGTGTGTTCAGAGAAGCAATGAGACAAAGCCTTGATGTAGGAGAAGGCTTTTAGCCAGGAACCTTTTGGTTTGAAAGCGACATAGATCCACCTAAGGGGAAAAGAAAGCCTTTATCATCTCAGAAGTGAAGAGTTCAGGGCTTTCAAGATCAAAGATGACATTGAGTTTTGCCACTGCTTTGTGTGTCTCATCTCGGCTCTCCTTTTTGTTGGCTGCATTCTTGCGAAGGGCTCTGTGAAGGGGAGCCTCTGGTCACCCAGAAGTCAAAGCCTGGAGTGGGCAGGAAGGGGGTGATCAAGGCTGATTGATCAGGGCCACGGAGACTCAAGGGTACCTTTTTTTCTCATGGTGTCCAGAGCACTGGACTCCCTGAAGGAGAACAGAGAGCTTGACCCTTTAGGGAGTGTGTGGAGGTAAAGAGGGGAGATGAGGAGCCTTTCTTAGACTCTAAAAGCTGTTGGTGTCCTTAAAATAGCAAGGCTTTCTCAGCTGCATCCTTGGCTTCCCAGGGGATGTAGGATCCTTTACAGATACCGGGGTCCAGGGAGAGAGGAAGAAAGTGGGAACCCCAGAAACCGCCCAACACATTCCGGCTGGGGTCTCCGGGACGCAGGGGATCTCGATCTATTCACCCTCTTCATCCTGGCGCACACTCGGCGCCCCCCCAAGCGAACCCAGCAGACGGCTGGGGAAGGCACGTCCCGCCCCGCGCCCCTTCCCAGCTCGGCGCTTCCGCTGCCCGAGCCTAGTCTCCTCCCCCGCCGTCCCGGGCGCCTTCCCGGGCAGGATCGTTGGGATCGCCCGGGCCGGCTTAGCCCGGGAGACTCTAGAAGCAGCGCCCCCCTCCCCTCTTTCAAGGTTCAACAGCCCCTCCCGGGTCTCCGCGGCCCAGAGGAGCCCCAGTGTTCCGCGCAGCAGCGCCCACGACCGGAGCCCCGCGGGAGCTGCTTCAGCACCGCGGACAGCGCCCCGCCCCGGGCCCTCCAGCCGCCCCGCTCAGAGGCCGCGCCGGCCAGCGATGCCCGCGGCATGGCCCGGAGCCCCGGCCCCGCGGCGCTGCTCCTCTGCGCCAGCCTCCTGCAGCTGTGCTCAGGTAAAGACAGGCTGTCCGCCTGAGATGGACGGGCCCTGGGAGCGAGGACGCGGGCGGGGACGAAGGGAGGGACCCCCGCAGGAGCAACTCCCGGAGCCTGGACTGGAGAAGGGCGGATTCTCGAGGCCGTTTCCGGAACCATTCCAAGAAAGGCGGGCGCCCTGCCGTACCCTCCCTTATTTATTCTCCAGCCCCGCCCTGAGCTCCTGGTTTGGGGAACTCCTCAGGGACTGCGTAGGAAGAAACGGGAAGTGCTCTGTGGGGTTCGGTGCGTGGTGGTGGGTGGGTGGGGGGTCGAGAGAGGGGCAGGAGAGACTGTCAGCTGCATGGCAGGGCTGAGGGCCAGGGAGGGCTCCCCCAGGGAGCAGGGCAGAGCAGCGAAGGACGCTTGGGGTGGAGGGCAGGCACCAGGCCCATGAGAGGCTCTCTCCCACCTCATGAGGGCATCTTGGCCGGGATTGGCCAGACTCTGGACCCCAGTCCCAGCCTCTTATCAGCCCAACTCTCCCTTCGCAGCCTGGGAGGGGCACCACCCACAGGCCAAGGCTATAACAAGTGACTTATGTTGTGACTGGCACGTGCTGCCCGTGGAGAAAGGGAGTATGATGAGGCCTGAGTTACTGTGCCTTGGTGACCACCCTACAGAACTTTCCTCCAGTCATGGGAGAAGGCTTGGAACTGGTGAATCTTTTGCAAGCACCCGGACCCTAACCCTGCAGGCAGGAATCCCCAGACATCGCTCCTAGCCCCCGGAAATCTGTGCAGGGCCCTAGTGCTGCTCTGCTGCTGGTCCCAGGGATCCCTAAGGATAGGGCAGTGCGACTCATCAGGCTCCTCTGAGAATCAGATTTGGTCCATCTGCTCAGGGAGGGCCAACTTCTGGGGCTGTCTTACTTTCCTCCTGCCCCTGTGCAGGCGTCTGGGCCACAGACACGGAAGAACGGCTGGTGGAGCATCTTCTTGACCCTTCCCGCTATAACAAACTCATCCGCCCAGCCACCAATGGCTCGGACCTGGTAACCGTGCAGCTCATGGTCTCACTGGCCCAGCTTATCAGTGTGGTGAGTGGGGGGGCTCCCAAACTCTGCCTGGTCACTTCTGTCACTACTATCAGAATATGTTCCCGTGAGCTCCCCAAGGCTGGTGGAGGTGTGGGAGTGAAGGGGGGCAGTGCAGAGGTTGTGTGGGCTGGGGTGAGCTCCTCAGCAACTTCTCTCCTTCCCCTCAGCACGAGCGGGAGCAGATCATGACCACCAACGTCTGGCTGACCCAGGTCAGTGCCCTTCCCACCCACAGCCCCAGTCTGTGAAAGCTGCCGGCACCTGAAGTAGCTCAGCAGTACAGCCAGTGAGATGCTGTGTTCTGAGCCCATGTGCCAGGCAGAGAAGTCCCGGTGGGGGACTTGCAGGGGGAGCTGTCTATGATATGCTTTCTCAGGCACTGGGGCTCCTGCCCCTGTCCCTGAGCCCCCATTCCTGTGCAGGAGTGGGAAGATTACCGCCTCACCTGGAATCCTGAGGAGTTCGATAACATGAAGAAAGTCCGGCTCCCTTCGAAGCACATCTGGCTCCCAGATGTAGTCCTGTACAACAAGTAGGTGGCGGTGGGGCACCAGGAAGCCTGGAGGAGACTGGGGGAGCACTCTGGGAGGGAGAGTGTCTCAGGAAAGGAAACTAGTTTGTGGTGTGCAGAAAGAAGGGCCTTTTCATGGATAGAGATGCAGTCACTGTAGACAGACAGACAGAACCACCCCCATGCCACAGTGAGGACAGCCAAGGTGACAGGGCCCTGGCCAACTCAGAGTCCCAGTGTTCAGGGCTGCAGTGGGGCACACACAAGCCCCCAGGGTCCCCAGTGAGTTCAGGATGCCAGAGAAAACCGGAAGTTCCTGCTTTCCTCTAAGTCATTCTCTCTTTCTCTCTCTTTTTTTTTTCTTTTTGGGTCACACCTGGCGATGCACAGGCGTTCCTCCTGGCTCTGCACTCAGGAATTACTCCTGGCAGTGCTCAGGGGATGCTGGGAATCAAACCCTGGTCGGCCGCGTGCAAGGCAAACGCCCTACCCGCTGTGCTATCTCTCCAACCCCTCTAAGTCATTCTCTTGTCCTGCAGGAATCTCTCAGCACCCTGTCACTCCAAACTACATAGGTGGCTGTCTCCTACTCCCACCTACCTCTGTCCCCCTCCTCTCCTCACTCACACCTCCCTGGCTCCAACTTTTTGACAGGCACCTGCACCTTTACTCACCCCCCCTTATTTAGAGGGGGCCTCCCAGCTCTTCTTGACCAGGCCACCTGCCTGACCCAGGGCCCTTTCCTGCTCCCATCAGGGTGCACCCCGGGACATGGGATGGCTGCCCATGCCCCTGCCCCTTCCTGGCTACAGTCAGGGCTGGCACCGGGGAAGTATCGAGGCCCACCCACAATGTGCTGCTCTCCTCGCAGCGCCGATGGCATGTACGAGGTGTCCTTCTACTCCAATGCCGTGGTCTCCTACGACGGCAGCATCTTCTGGCTGCCCCCTGCCATCTACAAAAGCGCCTGCAAGATCGAGGTCAAGCATTTCCCATTCGACCAGCAAAACTGCACCATGAAGTTCCGCTCGTGGACCTACGACCGCACGGAGATCGACCTGGTGCTCAAGAGCGACGTGGCCAGCCTGGACGACTTCACCCCCAGCGGAGAGTGGGACATCGTGGCTCTGCCAGGCCGGCGCAACGAGAACCCGGCCGACTCCACCTACGTGGACATCACCTACGACTTCATCATCCGCCGCAAGCCGCTATTCTACACCATCAACCTCATCATCCCCTGCGTGCTCATCACCTCGCTGGCCATCCTGGTCTTCTACCTGCCGTCCGACTGTGGTGAGAAGATGACACTGTGCATCTCCGTGCTGCTGGCGCTCACCGTCTTCCTGCTGCTCATCTCCAAGATCGTGCCGCCCACCTCGCTGGACGTGCCGCTCGTCGGCAAGTACCTCATGTTCACCATGGTGCTGGTCACCTTCTCCATCGTCACCAGCGTGTGCGTGCTCAACGTGCACCACCGCTCGCCTAGCACGCACACCATGGCGCCCTGGGTCCGCCTGGTCTTCCTGGATAAGCTGCCTGCGCTGCTCTTCATGCAGCCGCCACGCCAGCGCTGCGCCCGCCAGCGCCTGCGCCTGCGCCGGCGCCAGCGGGAGCGCGAGGACGCGGGCGGCCTCTTCTTCCGCGACGACTCGTGCACGTGCTTTGTCAACCGCGGGGCCTCGGTGCAGGGCCTGGGCGCGGCCCTGGGGGCCGAACCTGCGCCCGGGGCCGGCAGCAGGGGTCGCCCAGGGGCCTCGTGCGCCTGCGGCCTGCAGGAGGCGGTGGACGGCGTCCGCTTTATCGCTGACCACATGCGGAGCGAGGACGAAGACCAGAGCGTGAGTGCGCAGGCGGGCTTGCTTGCGGGGAGCGGCGGTGGGGTTGGGTGGGGGTCGGGGTCGCTGCCTCCAGCCAGCCCTGTGTGCTCTGCACAGGGCTGAGCTGCGGCAGGAGTCGCCCCTGATGCCCTGAGGAGCCTTGGGTACTCTCTGAGATGGCCCCCTGGAATGCACTGGTGTGAATCCAGGACAAGGCGCTGCCTCCGAGGAGGCGCTTCTAAATTTGCATGGGAGACCTGGGGCCTTGACCCCTAAGAATGGCTCCCTGGGCCTCTACCTACATTCCAACGCCACTTTGCAAATCTGCAGCTCTGAGCACAGAGACCAGCCCCTTGAGAGCCCAGAGGCAGGCGGGAGGAAGGGAGAGGGGTGCTTATCAGGTGTGTGTTGCGGATGGGAAGATTAGGGTTCCATGAGCCCATTCCAGTGGAAATGGAGGTCCAAATCAATACCTCTTTTCTGTTTCTCTGCGTCCTAGGGAATGACCTTATGTGGAATTTTAGGGCATGGGAATAGAGAAGTTCCTTTAGGCCCGCCCCAGCTTTCCAGGTCTTTCTGTAGTGGCTTACCATCAGGTGCAGCCCTGTTCCCCGAGGTCAGTCTCCAAGTACCTGGCTGTTTGCAGTGTGCAGCTCAGCTGTTGCCATGGTGACTGGCTCTGTTTCCGGTGGGGACTCAGCCCTGCCAGTGCTGGGGAACCTGGTGGTTCAGCTTCCCAGAGTCCCAGAAATGCCCCCTGGAGCTGGAGCTGGGGCTTGGGAACTTTGTTACAGCCCAAGAGAGAAGGGAGGCTGTGGTGGGCCAGACTGGAGCTGGCAGGGACCCTGCTGGAGGTGCTCACTGTGGGGGTGGTGCTGGCTGCTGTCACCACTGCTGAGGCTGATCATGTTCGGTGTGTATGTCCTGCTGCTGACCTACTTGCGAGCTGCTCACACTCTGACTTCACTGGGTTCTGTCTCTGTCCTCACAGCCCACGTGGCACCCCTTCCTTACTAAATGGCACCATCACCGGCTCATGATTCAGACCCCAGACCCAGAGATTTTCAGGCCTTTCCTCACCATCCAAACGATGAGCAGTTCTGTCCATGAGCGAAGCCTCCAGAGTCAGCACTTGGTCAACCCAGCAGGGCCCACGTCTCCCAGTTCCCTCCTGTGTCATTTGTCAGCAGTCCCCTTCCTGCCCCCTGCCCCCAACCCCCCACCTTGCTTTGGTTGCTGACTTCTCTGCTTGGCTTTTTTTTTTGTTTGCCACACCCAGTTGTGCTCAGGGCTTACTCCTATCTCTGTGCTCAAGGATCATTCCGGGTGGGCTCAGGGGACCATATGGGATAGCAGGGATTAAACCCAGGTTGGCTGCATACAAGACACAAGTGCCTTACTCCTATACTATCTCTCAAGCCCTCAACTTCTAATTTTTTAGTTAAAGATTTTCCAGTTGTGGGCCGGAGCGATAGCACAGCGGGTAGGGCATTTGCCTTGCACTCAGCTGACCTGGATTTCATCCCCGGCATCCCATATGGTTCCCCAAGCACTTCCAGGAGTAATTCCTGAGTGCAGAGCCAGGAGTGACCCCTGAGCATTGCTGGGTGTGACCCAAAAAGGCAAAAAAATTTTTTTCCAGTTGTTTTCATAATACCCTTTGTAGTATCACCCCTGCTCAAACTGGGGCCTGACATCTTACCTGGGTTTGCTGCCTCTTCCATGTCGGCAGCCTGGAGCAATTACTGTCTCATTGTTCAAGTGGGGAGAGGCCACTGGAGGGACCTCAGTGTGCATCTGTCACTGGTTCCAGGTTGGAACCTAGGACCTCGCTTAGGTGAGACTCTACCAATGGGCCACGTGCCTGTCAGCCCCGATCACTGTGTCTTCCAACGCGCTCCCATGAAGCTGCTCCACCTCATTCACCAGCGCTTCTGCTCACGTGCCCTCCCAGAACACACCTTAGGGGGCCATCACGTGTATGTCTCAGTCCTGATCCAGACTGGCACTGTGGGCCATGACTGGATTTTGCCTTGTCTGTGCCTCAGCAAGCCATGTGCCACAGGACAGGGTGCCTCATGCCCCCCAGGTCCAGTGGAGGTGCAAGTGTGCGATGAATGAGCTTGCTTCACCCACTGACGGAGTGCAGGTCTCTGTTTGCATCATCTCACCTGAAGGGAGACCAGCGACTCTCACACCCCATAAGTGGCTCCTGGGATTGGAGAGAGAGCACAGCGGGCAGGGCACTTGTCCAACCCAGGTTTGATCCCCAGTACCACATATGATCGATCCCCTGAGCACCTCCAGGAGTGATTCCTGAGTGTAGAGCCATGAGTGAGCCCTGAGTACCATCTGATGTGGCTCCCAAACCAAGCCAAAAAAGAAGCAGTTCCCCCCCTTTTCACTCTGTTTGCATCTGAGACCCCTTTCTCCCTACAGGCCTGAGGGCTGTTGGAAGGGCCCCTGCAGACGAAGAGTGAGGTTGCAGGCCCTGACTGTGCATTGCTGCACCCTGTGTTCCAGATATGCCCCGATTACAGGGTACCAGGACAGTCTCCTGCAGTTCAGGAGCTCGTAGCTTAGGTTGGGGCGGGGAGTGAGGGAGGACACAGTGGTGCAATTGAAGGGACAATGACACTTCAAAATCGTCTACTAGAACCCCAGAGGTATCCTAGGTCACTCCAAGCAGGGTGTCAGGGAAGCTCCCCAGAAGAGGTGATACTTGGTTGGTTTGCTCCTTGAAGGGTGGGGAGGAGTTTTGGGGAGAGAGAAAGGATGGAGGTTCCAGGCTGAAAGGGAATGGAAGGCAAAGCTGTGGAGGTTGCTAAGTCTCTTGATGGGGGATGGAGAGGCTCAGCATGGGCTGATGTTGCATTTAGTGGGGCTGTGTGTGTGTGTGAGAGAAAGAGAAACAGAGACAGAGAGAGGAGAGGGGGAGGGAGGGAGAAAGAAGAGAGGGAGGGAGGGGGAGAGAGGGAGAAAGAAGGGGGGAGGGAAGGAGAGAGGTACAGGAGGAGGGAGGGAAGGGAGAGAGAGAGAGAGAGAGAGAGAGAGAGAGAGAGAGAGAGAGCACTACTTTCCTGTGGCCTGTGGCCGACACCTGCCCTGGTCCCTGTCCAGGTGAGTGAGGACTGGAAGTACGTGGCCATGGTGATCGACCGCCTGTTTCTCTGGATCTTCGTGCTCGTCTGCGTCTTGGGCACCGTGGGCATGTTCCTGCAGCCATTCTTCCAGAACCACAGATCCGCCACCTTCCTCCACGCAGCCCCCAGCTCCAAGTGAGCCCCAGCTCCAAATGCCCTTCCTTCTGCCCTCTGCCCCACAGCGCCCTGCGCTTCCTTCACCTGGAGCTCCCCGCCACCCCCACCTCCCCCACCCCCCCCCACACACACCTGCCCCAGAGCCCACCTGGAGGCTGCAGCTGTTCTGGAGCCAGCCCAGGGATCATGTTGAGAGTCAAGGAGGAAGGTCGAGGAGGAAGGCTGGGAGTGTTCAGGGAAGAAGGAGAGAGCAGTTCCCGGGATGCACAGTGGACCAAGTCACCCTGCAGTGGACCAGGTCAGTCCCCAGTGGACCCGCATCACTCTGAAGTGGGCAGAAGTCACCCTCTCATGGACCAGGTTACCCTTGGGTTACCCCCTGCAGTGGACCGGGCTCTCACGTGAGGCTTAGCTGAGATCCCTGCAGACCCCTGGAAGGTCCCAGCACAGCCCTGGGTACTGCTTCTCTGCCCAGGGTCCCTCAGGGCTATGGTGGGTGCTGGGGAGCCTCTGGGCTGTGGGGCTGGGATGACTGCAGGCAGCCCTGTCTGCACTTACAGGCCTGCGGGTGGAGGTGAGCTCTCGGCACCTGCCCCAGAATTGGGTACAAGGCAAGGGGCTGAGGGCCAAGCACCCCCTCAGGAGCCCTCCTGCCCCATCTTCCTTCCATCACGGCTCCCGCAGCCCTTCCGCCTAGACCCTCCCGCCTGTGAAGCACAGCCTGAGCTTCTTGTCCTGTGGGTCCCCAGCAGTCCCTAGAGGAGGGATTTCCTGCTCCTAGCCCCCTCCCCCTGCCTGGCTGGTGTGGGTTCACCCACAAGGGCAGGCTGGTGTGGATGGAAGCAGGGCTCTGTCTAGGCCTGCCCTCTGCTTTTGGTGCTGCCACCTGCCTGGCAGCCACCTGGGGCTTCTCCTCCTTGGTGGGTCTCAGCGTCCCTCTCCTGGAAGGGCCTTTGGGAATAAGGCCACTGCTGGCCTGCGAAGCACCGCATGGGGGGCCCAGCCTGTAGAAGCCCAAGGGGACAGGTCTCACCTGTCACAGGGGCCTCCCACCTGCCCACACACACCATCACCCCTTCACCCCTTCACCCCTTGAGCTAAGCAGGTGCGGGAAAACGGGGCAGGAGCCACAGCCCTCCCCCCCCCCCCCATCCCTCCGGGCTCATCTCAGAGCACCCGTCCCTCTGCTTCTGGGCGCTCCACCAGTTGGCCAGGCTAAGGCTGGGCTCTGGGGGGACGAGGGGTGGTTGGGGTGTTTCTGGCCCCTGCAAGACACGACTCTGCCTGGAAGAACCCAGTGGGAGCTGCCTTCAGGGGTTCCCTTGCCTGGTTTGGGGAGGCCTCCACGTTCTGCACACAGCCCCCCACCCCCCACCCCAAGAAGGTGCCACGTGTCCGACTCCACCTTGCCATCTGCAACGCCGGGAGCGGGAAGGGCAGAGATAGTGTCAGCCGAGTGGAATAAGAGCCTCTGGCTGAGCCTGTCCGCCAGCGTTGGGTGGCAGCGCCCAAGTGGCTGCTGGTGGGGAACAGGGGCTGATGGACGGGAAGGGTTCTGTTACCTGTCTTGTTTGCGAGGGGAGGTGGGGCAGAGGGTCAGGGCAGGGTGCCCCACCTGTGACCCAGACTGGGGCGCGGAGAGCGATCCATCTGTCAGGGTCCTGTGTCTCCCTGGGTGGTGCTGCCCCCCCCCCCAGCTCCTGCCCCATCTGGGCACTAGAGTGTGAAGAGGAAGTGCAGGGTCGCCAAGAGGCACCGTGGGTGTCCAGGCTGGAGTGCTGCTGGATGCCCCGTCTCCACTGTTGCTGCCAGTCATGGCTGGAGGATGGTGACCTGACTGGAGGCCAGGGCACGGCCAGCTGGGGCCACTGAGCCGCAGGCGGCCAAGCACGGCCCTGCAGAGGCAGCACTGGGGCTCACCCCTGGACCTGTGTTCCCTCCAGTCCCTTGTGGAGTGTGGGACACTCAGGGTCTTACTGGATCCCCTCCCCAGACCTGTTGACTGCCACGGCCCAGGGCGAAGACGACAGGCTGTTGTGTCTTGGCCCCCATAGAGAGGTAAGGGTGGCAGTCACGTGGCCCCTAAGGGACTGCAGGACACCTCGCCCCCTCCCAACACACACAGGTATTCCCTCTCCCCCCACATCTGCCTCAGCCCCTCTCCTGTACACCTGGGATGGGGCTGCTACTGTGGCCCTGTCCAGGCAGGACTCGCGGGGAATCTGAGAGTCTTGTAAAAAAAAGTCGTTTCAAAGCCATCTGCTGTGTCTGGTGTTTGGCGACAGCGTGTGGGGGCGGGGCTGGCAGGCGGCACCCACATCCCTGAGAACCCGAGGCTCAAGCCTGTCTGCTCCTGGGAGGAAGCCACTGATCTGGAGGGGCAGGCCAGGGCCCACACATGGGGATGTGGGGAGCCACTGTCGCTTCTACAGCTCTGGTTTCTGGGAACACTGTTGAGGACCCACTGGAAAAATAAGACCACCTGCCTCGGGAGCTGAAGGGTTAGAGGATTCTCCGTGCCCAGGCCTGGAGGGCGAGACCATCCTGAGAAGGGCCAACTGGACCTAGAGCCCCAGACCCCCGCGGAGATCGATATGCCCCCGTGCTGGCTTCAGCAGTGCAGCTCAGCTCGGGTTGAAGGAGCTCAGCCAAGCACGGGCCTCCGCCTGTGTCCCCTGCTTGTGGTCTGCAGTACCCGGTGTGCGGGAGCCAGAGACTGGCACTGACTGGGTCAGCTCCCCACTCTGGATCTTGAGCTCTTGCCCATCCAGTCTCTGGGGACGCAACAATTTTTAGTTCTGGTTTTGGGGTTTCACCTGGTGCTGTTCCAGGCTTTCTCCTGGCCCTGTGCCCAGGGCTCACTCCTGGCAACCCCAGGCGAGCATCTCACCTGCTGTCTGTCCACTCTCTCCAGCCCTGGGTGGGCTGTTTTTATGAGGTCAGGGGCAGCGTGTGGAGCTGCCATTGTAGGGAGCCCGTGTACCCCAGCCCATTCAGACCATCTCACATGCAGGCAGGCCCTCGGAAATGCTCCTTCCCACAGGCTGGGGGACCTTGGGGGGCACCTCAGGTGTGCAGTGCAGTGTCCTGCCGTCCACTCCCCCAGAAAAGCAAGAGAGGCATCCTAACAACGTGGGACTGTTGGTTTCTCTTTTTTAATTGACAGGAATGTTTAGTCACTGCTACTGAGGGGCACACAAAAGCAGAATCATACAACGCACGGTGGCTGCGCTTGGCTCCCCCCCACCGCTGGCCCGGGGGGGGGGGGTCACAATCAAGGATCCTCCAAGCCCACAGAGCCCCTTCAGTGTGAGCGAAGGGTGCGGCTTCAGGCGGCAACAGCCTGTACATAATTATCTGAAGAACGAGCAATAGCCACAGTTCAGACACACCAACTATGCAGATTCAACAAATGGGGTGGGGGCAGCCTATGTTAAAGACAAAGATTGGACAAAAAAGTGAAAACACAGCGGGGAGCACAGCCCCCCACTGCCTGCCTCAGGGCTGCTGGGGAGAGGGAAGAGGCCGCGGGGAGGCGTGCAGGGTCCACCGTGATCTGGACTCCAGCAGACATGAAGGGCTTGGGGAGGCCTTGCCACCCTCCTACGTAGAAATGGGGTCCGGAAAGGTCACTAGACAAGACGAGGGGTGAGCAGGAGTTCTAGGCCCCCTGCTCAGACTACAGGAGGGTCTAATGCCCGAGCCAGAGCAGCTGCTCTGACATCCTGAGGGGGCAGGAGGCACCCTGCAGGCTGGGAGTGGGTGTGGGGTGCAGTAGGGGGTGCCAACAGCTGCCTTTAGCATATTCACAGGACTAGGGTGGAGCCGGGCCCCCCCACCCCCAGACGGGACTCTCTCCATTGGCTCCTGGGGACACTTTGGCCCCGACAAGGACAGCCTTTGTGTATTAAAAAACAAACCTGGATTTTCTGATTTTGGTCAACTTCCAGTCAGCAGTACAGAAGGACTAGTAGCCATGAGAAAAGTGCAAATGTGGGGCTAGCTATCGTGAAGGTGGTGGAATGGGGCGGGGTGGGGTGGATCCGTTAGTAGGGCGTGGCTCACAAGGTCACAGATGGGGGGAGGGTACAGCAGGAAGGGGCAGCGGCCAGGGGCGGGCTCCCACGGTGCCGGAGCTCACACGGCTGCTGGTTACAGTGGACTTCAGCGGCTCGCCCACCGGGGCCACCTAAGGGTGAGCTCAAGTTTGCTTGAGGTGGAACCTGGAGGTCCCGCCCTAGGGTTTTGTGGTGCCTTATCCTTCCCATTCTTAGGGAACCCTTGGCTGTAGAGTGACCTCCAGGTGGGCCTTGCCATAGAGACCCCCTACCTGGGAAAAGGGATGCTGGGGACTTGGAATTGGCGTCTGCACCGACAGGTTCCACACAGGGTCCCTCAAACACTCCTCATTAGTGCCTGATGTCACAGCCCCAGGACCAGCTGCGGGACCTGTGGCCTGTACTTTTACTCCATCCTGATTATTTCTAGGTTCTGTCCTGGCAGGTTCCTGCCAGCCGACCCCCACCCAGACCCCTCCTTGGCTGGGAAATTCCCAGGAATGCTTCAGGAGGGACCTTAGGGACTTGCCTGCCATGAAGTGGCTGGGGTGCCCCCTGCAGGGGAGGCCAGTCACCACAGGGTAGGGGACCATGGCCTGGCCAGTCCTGTCCTGCTGCTCAGGAGGGGATGAGCCCTCCCACCCACCCCCACCGCAGCTTCCTGCCAAGCGGGGCTAAAGTGCAAGATCTGAGCGTCCGAGGGCCTCAGCCGCAGGTCCGGCCACACCTGGCAGCAACAGCTCACGGTTCACCTGATTCTCAAGCTTCCCTCTGTCCACCTGAGGGACAGGAGACAGACTCCAACCACAGGGCCAGCCTCTCCACCAGGGAGGCACCTGCCAAGCTCCCAGTGGAGCGCGTGGGCCAGCGCCCCCTGGAGGTGACACAGGGAAGGAAGGTCATCGGCGCAGAGCAGGGCGGGGGCAGAGACCCGCCTCTTGCCCCTGGGTCACAGGGGAGAGAAGGGCCACAGTGGCCCAGTCTCGGAAGAGTGGGGAGCCCCCATCCTCGGCATAACCAGTTGTGGTTCCATTGGGGGAAAGGTAAAGGGAGACTCGCCCGTGAGCTGTGTGACAGGCACACAGGACCCCAGCTCCCCTCAGGGCCGGCCTCAGCCAGGCTACACGGGACAGAGGTAGAAATTCTTCTCCTCCTGGGGCTTGCTAATCCAGTTCCCATAGCCCATGTCCCTCAGGCTCTTTTTGAAGTGGTTCTTGGCCAGTTCGTACTCGCGGGCCGCTCGCTTGGCTTCGCCATAGGAGAGCTGGAGCAGATCCCTGCGGCACCGGAAGGAACAAAGCTTCTTGAACTGGAGGAAGATGTTCTTCTTGGAGACCCGGGACAACTCATTCCGCGGCCTGGGGACACCAAACCACTCGTGACCACCGGCGAGAGCAGGGGTAGGGGTAGGGGATATGGATGGGGGTGGGGTGCGGGGCAGCAGGGAGGCAGGGTGAGTGTGGGGGTGGGGTTGTGTGCCTCACCCGTCCACAGTGCCCCGGGTCCCGTCCAGAATCTCCAGGTCATAGCCATCGGCCAGACACCAGTTGACACTTGTCTCCTTGGTCTTCCCAGACTGTCTCTTAGAGTCATAGACACTGACGCGGCCAACCTAGAGGCACCAGGGCAGGAGGGACATTGGGGCCCCTTAGGAAAGTGATGGGAGATCTGCAGGGTCATCAGGGGTCGTGTTTGGGCACCTGCTGCTCCCGCCCCCAGCCTGTCACAGGACTTCTGGCCCCCAGCACCCAAAGGGCTCGGGAAGGAGGGGCTCTTGGGCACCTTAGGGTGGTTCACGATAAAAGGGTATCGGAGCCCATCTTCAAATGCACGCCCATCCCTGGTCACACGGCAGCAGATGGCACGGGTCAGGTGTCCTTGGCTGAAAAGGTAGCCTGGAGCCAGAGGAGACAGAGCCTGAGTCGACACCACGCGGGCTTGGCAACAGAGGCAGACGGGCCTGAGGCTGCACACAGTGCCCTCAGTCCCCCTTTTGGAAGCCCAGGGCCAACCCCTAGGAGGAATATGGGATCACTAACGCACATTATCCAGAATGTGAGGTTCTGGGTGGGCTGGGGGCTCTGTTTGAGGAGCCTGGCCTGGCCACCGCCTAAGCCAGTCTCCCGCCCCCAGAAGAGTCCCCAGTCGTGGTCCTTGGGCACAGAAAGACAGGCGGACCCTCACCGAGTGTGACCGAGTTGAGGTACACAGGCTGCAGGAAGTGGGTGAGTAGCGCCCCCTGCAGGCCCAGCACGTTCCAGCGCAAGATCTTGTCGCTACAGGACATGGTCCGCAGCCTCTCACCCAGTCGGATGCCATCCCACGTGGGCACAATGTCGCTGGACTCCACTGGGATCGTGCCTTCCCCTGTGGGGAGACATGGTCAGACACTGCCCCAGCCCCGGCCTCGCTGCCTCACAGCTGTACTAGGACAGAATCCACCTGCGTGACGTGTGCAAATCAATGTTTTTCACTACGGTCTCAGAACCAGAACACCAGCAATGCGGTGTCAGGGTGTCTCACCCAGCCCCGCCCCCCATCCACACCGTCCCCAGGGTTCTGCCTGCTCTGGACATCTCATACAGATGAACCATAGCATACGGGGTCTCCTCTCAGCTGATTTTTTCACCTCTTGGTACGTTTTAGGGGCCCAGCATGTTGCTGCCTGTGTCTGCAAGTCACTCTTCCTTCTTACTGGACTCTGGTCACACCCAGCAGTGCTCAGGGCTCGCTCCTGGCTCTGGGCTCAGACTTCACTCCTGGCAGGGCATGGAGTGCCGTATGGGGTACTGGGGATTGAACCCAGGTCGGCAGTGTGCAAGGAAAGTGCCTTCCCAGCTGCCCTATTCCTCTGGCCCATGCCCCATGTAGGCTGCTCCTCGTCTCTGTGCTGAGCATCATGGGGGAAACTGGTTCTGAGAGGTTCTGAGTTGGGCTGCTGGGGACATGGGTGCTCTGGTCTCACATGTGCATTTGTTTCCCTTTCTCCTGGGCATACGCCTAAGAGGGAACTGTGGATCCCTAGGGAACTGTGTCTACTTCTAGGGTGCTGGGCTGGGAAATGACAGGAGCGGACTACCCTGAGCGCCGCAGACAAGGTTTGCAGTGAGGAGGAGGGGACAGGAAGTGACAGAGGACACAGGACAAGCAGCCACGATGGGGGAGTCTTATCTGGTGAAGAGCCTCTGAACCACCAGATCAGGACAGAGACCCTGACCCTCCTGCCCGGGCCCCCGGCGAGGCAGCTCACAGTGGCACCCCGGGCAGGCGGCCACTCACCGTTCTCCACCTTGGTGCGGAGCTTGCCCTGTTTCGGATTCTCAAAGACAGGGAAGTGGCGAGAATCCGGGCTCTCCATGGCTCTGTCGCTGCACGACTTGTCGAAGAGGGCGCCGTCACCACACGGGGCCGTGCTGGAAGGCGAGCCTGTGAGCACACGCCCGGGGCAGCACACCGCACCGGGTCCCGCGGGCCCCGCACCCCACCCCTAAAAGGGGCCTGGCCCCCACCTGATGTAGAGGTGGAAGGTGATGTTCTTCTTGATCTGCAGCTTCTCTCCACCGTGGGCCAGTTCGAATATGCTGTCCCTTGCCGTCTGCGGGTTGTACTTCATCAGCTCGCTGTACAGAAACCTACGGGCAGAGCAGCGCTAAGAAACCCGTGGGGACTGCACGTGGAGAAGGGGACCTCGAGGTAAGGAGAGGCCCAGGGATGCTGAGAGCAAAGGGATCAGCCCCTGAGCTGGGGGAGCAGGTGCCCCCCAGAGCTGGAAGCTTCCAACCCCCAAGCCCTGAAAGGGGTCACTGCGTGTGTCTGAGAGTAAGTGGCCAGCAGCAGAGGCAGCAGAGAAATCGAGGGTGCTGGGCTGAGTCTGGGAGCCACATGCCCCCTCATCCCCCACCCCATGCGTGCGCGCGCGCACATACACACACACACACACACACACACACACACACACACACACACACACCTGATAAAGCCTCTCCGGGAGATGATCTCGGCGTGACAGTCGTTCACGGTCTCTCCCTTCAGGCTGAGCGCGTCCCCCTTCACGCACCGGTTCCCTGAGAGGGGGGCCCAGGCCCAGGTGAGATCCCCAAAGCCCAACAGCAGTACCAGGGGCTGTCTGCACATCACCCCAGATAGGCACGCCCCCCCCACCCCCCAGGTCCGACCTCTGCCTCCCACAAGTGAGAGCGACTCCCTCCCCACCCTGAGCTCGCTGTAGTGAGAGACACGTGACAAGTCTGTGCTTGGGACAGGGAGAGGGTTCACTGGGCAGACCCGGGCGGGGTCCCTGGCACCGAGCTGGGTATACCCTTCCCACCCCCAAAGTCTATTCTTGGGGCTGGGGCCCTGGATTCTCACTCTGGCACCTGAACTTCCTGTCTCCCCAGTTATGGGGGTCTTCATGGTCCCTGGAAGAGCAGGGCCCCCACTGACTCCCTGGTCTGGTGGACGGCCATCTCGGATGGCTCTGGGCCCAAGTACTACCTGGAAGAGTCCCACTCCCAGACGAAGACCTCCATGAGAGGCAAAACCAGAGACTCTTTCCTCTCCCTGCTCACCCCGCGGGCCGAGTCCACACACCTGTCCCCAGGCTGACCACCACCCCCAGGTCCTCCACATCCCTCTTCATGATGATGGCGGCCAGGATCTTGCGGCCCAGCAGGGAGGGCTGGAAGCTGTTGGTGAGGGCGTTGAAACAACGGTGGCTCAGCATGGCAATCTGGTCGTGGAAGGTGCTGCCCGTGACGGGGAGCTGGGGGACAGACAGGGGCTGCGTCAGGGGAGGACGGCAGGGCTCCGTGCCCCGGCCCGCATCTACGGTTCAGCTCTGCCCAGAGAGGAGATAGCAGAACCCCCCAGCCCCCGCCCCTCCTCCCCCCAAGAGAAAGCATGAAAGTCAAGCTCTTAACTGTCTTTGGTTGTGCCTCTGGGGCCCTGGAGAGGAGGAGCATAGTTCTTCGGAGCCCGGCCCCCGTCACGGGGGTTACCTCTGTGAAGCCCAGGCGCTCGGCCTTCTCGTTCTCCCCAATCAGGACACGGAGCGCTGCGTCGGCCGCCTCCTGCTTGCCCTGCTTCTTGCTGTGCGCGCACACGGCGGGGAACCAGCGACCCCCAACTTTGGCTTGGTAAACGAACCTTCAGTGGGAAGAAGCGAGGCCGGGATCAGGCCCAGGCCGGGCCAGCTGTTCCTGATAGGGCTAATGGGGGAGGCGCCCCTCGGCCCCAGTCCCTGGCTCCGAGCAGTCTTGGGCACCCGGCCAGTCTCTCCCGAGGCGGGGAGCATAGGCTATCATGCAAAACTTTGCTCAAACCCAGGGAGGGGAGAGGCCGCCTCCCTCTGGGAGAGGGAAACGGCACAGACCACACACACTTCACAGCGCCAGGGGCTGGGAGGCCCCAGGGTTCCACCCAAGCTGGCAGAGCGACCTGAGCTCACAAGGCCCTGGGCCGCACTGGCCAATGGCAGGGGACAGCGCCCCACTCCGGCCAGCCTCACTCCTGCTGCCCCTTGAGTCCCAGGCACCTGCTGCCACTTCTTCCTTTACCCTGTCCTCTCTCTGGCTCCTTAGACAATGGTTTTATGAACGTTTTGCCCTGCCAGGGACTTACAATTCAAAGGCAGCTCCCACGCCAGGTAAACGCGTGAAGTCAAGGGCACAGAGTGTCTCCATCCTCAGCAGCTGCTGGGGTATGGAGGGGCGCACACTGGCTTTCTCGCTGGGGGCATGTCTGGGGGATCACTGTGACAGCCACTTGCTGCTGGACAGCAGGGAGCACAGTGCGAGGCAACAGCACCACGCAATCCCCCGGGGCCCACGAGGACGGAGACAACAGAAACGCCAGGATCACTCCTGGTGGGCTCCGGGGATTGTGCGTGGTGCTAGGTCAGCCATGTACAGAGCACGCCCCCTCCCTGTGGACATGAAGGCATGTCAGAGCACTGACCGCTCCCAGTCTTTTCTAGAAGAATCCGTGCTCTAAAGGGCTGCAGACTGGTGCCAGCCCCGGGAGGTGGGGCAGCAGGCAGGTTGCGTGCCTTGCCAGGACCCCCTGAACCTGCTGAGGCCCCCAAATCAAGGCTGGAAACAAGAGCACGTCACTGTGGCTGCCATGATACACAGTATGGACGGGACTCGCAGTGTGAGGCGGAGCGCGGCTTGCCTCTCGGTGTCTGTGAATGCAGGCTAAGCTGTTTCCGTGTCTGACAGGAGAGGGAGAGTGAGGAGCCCAGGAGCCTGCGGGTCTGCAGCAGCGTTTGGTCTCAGGCTGTTCTTTGTCTCTGTGCACTTTCCCCTACAACCCCTTTTCTGTTTCTCCTTCAACACGGGCCTGCTCTGCCCCAGGGTCCTTCAGCCTGAGGGCTCAGACCCAGGCAGGGCTCCCGCCCAGGCACTGTGGGCCCCTGTGTACTCCTCAGCCATTCCTCAGTCTAAATAAAAGCCCCCACTTGGGGGCCAGGAGCCACAGAGCAGGTTGGATTCCCTGAGCACGGCTGGGTGCTCTCAACCCCTGCACGGAGCCTCTTCTCAGGCTGGCTGAGGCTCACTAGATGGAACCCCTGGGCCTCCTGGGTTCTTTGTTTGTTTCTGGGCCACACCTGGAGGTGGGCTCGGCTGACTCTCTGCCCAGCAGTCACTCCTGTGGGCTGAGGGCCACAGGAGGGGTCCCTTCAGTCATCGCCTGCACTGGTCGGTGACCTCAGCTCCCCATTCTCCCTTCATAGACGATTTCTTCCTTTGAGAGATTTGTTAGTTGATACTTCCAGACTGATATTTAATCTGATGCATCTACACCTGCCTCCTGACTTACAGCGGGGAAAGTTCTGGGCTCACCACTGGGTGGGCTCCGGCTCCTGACTCCAAACACGTATTACTGTCATGCTATGTGGCTCTCCACTAATTCCTATTTTGTCAGCAGCTTTTTTTTTTAATCATCTGAATGGATATTGCCTTTTGGAATCTCTACAGATTTATCATATGGCTTCCTTCTTCAATTTATTAATACTATTTTTTGTTTTAGGGGCTACAGCCAGCAATGCTCAGGGCTTACTCCTGGCTCTGTACTCAGGAATTACTTCTGGAGGGGTTTGGGGGACCATGTGGGGTGCTGGGGATTGAACCCAGGTTGCTTGTGTGCAAGGCAAGCACCCTACCCTCTGTACTAACGCTCCAGCCCTTATCTATTAATATTGTTGATGTATTAACATATACCAACATGAACAAATATCCCAAAGTAGACTAGTCCGTGCACTGTGCCCAGGTGCCATGCTTCATTCTGACAAGAGCCAACACTGGCCTGGGGAGAGGGCGCAGAGAGGAGGCACTTGCTTCACATGCAGCTGACCCCGGTTTGATCCCGGCACTACAAAGCGTTCCCTGGATGCCACCAAGAGTGATCCCTGAGCACAGAGAGCCAGAAGCAAGCCCTGAGCACACTTGTCCTCCCCAGAAACAACAAAAATCAAAACAAAAAGTATTAGCATATACACAGAAATTTCTAGGAGTCAAGAAGCTGGGATGTGAGTCCTGAATGGGAAACACAAAGCCTGAGAAAGAAATGAGACTCTTCACAGTGTAATTTGTCTGCATCAAAGATCTTTCTCTGGATGTATATATTCCCTAAAGCTTGAAGATGTTTAAAAATCTGGGGGGGAGGGGGAGGGGGCTGAGGAGATGGCTTGAAGGACTGGAAAACAGGCTCTGTGTGCCAGAAGCCCAAGTTTGGTCCTCAGGCATCCTGGGGTTCCTGAGTATATCCAGGAGGGACCGTTGAGCAGCAAGCGAGGAGCCCCATGGCACCTGTGGATGTGACCCCAACACTAACAGAGCTGGTTTTAGAAAGCAAACTGGCCGGGAGGGTGAGTGTACCCCAGGTGTGGCCCTCTCCCCAGTCCCAGATGCACGGCCGCGGCTCCCTGCCCCTGTGACTGCAGGACACTCACTTGGGCTCATGGGGTGGTCCCGATTGATCAACCAGCTTGAACTCAGCCGCGAAGCCGTGGGAGCGGGCGTACTCCAGGAGACCCCCCACGGGGTTGGTGTTGAGGTAGCGGACGAGCTCGCTGACCCTCCGCATGCCGCTGGGTAGCAGCGACTCCAGGCCGTCCAGGGCCTCCGAGCTGGTGCCTCCAGCCTGAAGGAGAGTGAGTCAGAGGGGAGAGGGGCGGGTGCCACCCCTCACCGCGCCCCTGCAGAAGGGCCCTGTACCCCCACCTGGTCCTCGGAGAATGCCAAGTGGCCTGAGCTGCTCGTCTCCTCACTCAGGGCCTTCATGGCCTCCTGGGCGGCCATCTGCTTGGCCACCTTCTTGCTGGGAGCGCTGGCCGTGGGAAAAGTGTGGGTCCCCACGGCCACACAGTACTGAAACCTGGGGGTGGCAGGAGGGGATGAGCTGAAGAGGCTTCAGGGGCCGGGGGCCATGTGCAGCACCCTTCGCCCTCCTTCAGCCCCTTTCAGAGCTGGGCTGGCCCCTGCCTGACCCCCAACCATAAGCCTCGTGTCCTGTCCTCGTGAGTCTAGAGCCTGCCACCCTCCCGTGACCCGCCCTCCACTCTCCTTAGGCTCACTCCCTGCTCGGCCCTCACATTGCTGGCCCTGCTTCTCAGCTCCTCATGGGCTGGCCACCCCACGAGGACCCCGTTTTCCACCTGGGAGGCAGGAGTGGTCACTCAGGGTGTGAGGGGCAGGAAGGAGAGCAGCCCGGCTGCAGGGGACGGGGGTGCGTGAGACGAGACGTACTTAGGGTCATGGGCGGGGCCTTCTTTGGACAGGAGGCGGAATTCACAGGAGCTCCCCAGCTTGTGCACACACTCCAGCAAGGTGGTCACGGGGCTCTTCCCTGAAAACAAGGGCACCGACCGGGAGGGAGAGGGGGGCTCTGCTGCCTGTAGAAAGGGGGGTGGGACAAGAGGAGAAGAGAAGCTGAGATGCAAAGGCAGGGGGGTCAGGGACGGGGATAGAGGAAGGGAGGGGAAGAGAGGGGACAGGAGGGAGAGTCGTGTAGGGAGGGGGGAAGGGAGAGGAGGTGGGAGAAAAAAGGATGGAGGGGAGGGAGGAAGATGGGAGAGGAGAAAGGGGAAGAGGGGAGGAGGAAGAGGAGGAGAGGAAGGGGGAGAGGAGAGGGAAAGGTGGGTGGGGGTAACAGAGGGAAGAGGAGAGAGAAGGTGAGGGGAGGGAGAGTAAAGAAAGGAAGGGGAGGGGAGTGGAGAGACAGGAGGGAGGGGAAGGAGAGGAGAGGAGGGAGGGGAGGGTCGATGGGTTGCTTTTGTTTAGGGGGCAGGGGCAGGCATGGCACACAGGCACTGCGGGAGGGAGAATCACTGTTTCTCCTCTGCTGGGGGACTGGACTCATCATCTCCAAGGGCAGGGGAGTGGGGGAGGGGGAGGCGCAGGGGGAGGGCAGCGGCTGCTGGTGTGACTTCAGCTGTGGTGGGGGGGGTCCCGGCCCTGAGTGAGGCACCCACCTTCTCTGCCTCCTTCTCCTCCGAATCCTGGCACAGTTCTTCGGAATTCCCACCGTCCTTGGCTCTCGCTTCCTCGAGCAGAATCTTCAAGGCCTTCAGAGCGGCGTCCTGCTTGGCCACTTTCTTGCTGCCAGCTTCGGCGGGGGGGAACTCTCGGCCACTGACGATGACCTGGAACTTAAATCTAGATGGAGCAAGATGAGAGGTGTGAGCGCGGGTCTGCAGACAGTCACCCTGGCACCGGCCTCACCAGGGCGTGAAGCGCAGCCTCTTCCTCAGCTCCGGGAACGGCCAGCCCTCGGCTACCACAGCCATGTGCCGCCAGTGAGAGGAACACGCCAGGTCACCAGTGGCCCGAGAGATGCATGCAGGCACACTAGCACTCAGGAGCTTCCTCCGAGAGCCCCCGTGGGAGACAACACCGCCTGGCACCATCTTTTGGGCTGGGGCGTCAGCAGGGCACATGTGCTCGCTGCTTGTCCCCGCCTGTCCTCCGGGCCTGCTCTCACCCTAAGAGCCAAGACCTGCACCTCCTGGGCCCTGTGCGAGCCCCCGGCCAAGTTAGCCTCTGTCCAGACCCCGAGCCAAGCTCAGGCCACCCCTCCCACCGGCTCTCCTCGGGAAGGGCAGCGCAAATCCCTCTGACTTCCAGAACACTGGGACACGAGTCCAGAGGAAGGTGAAGGAGAGGCTGGAGCCCCCTGGCATCCTGACGCTGGCACGGGGCCTGGGAAAGGCGGGGAAGGAGGCAAGGGCTGGTGGCCCAGGCTCCACCCAGAGCCACTGTCAGCTGTGGGCCTCCCGACCCTCGCCATGTCACTGGAGTCACCAAGATGGTCACAAGGGCTGAGAGAGACAGGACAGGGGGAAGGCACTTGCCTTGCACACACCTGCCCGGGGTTCAGACCCCAATACCCCACAGGGTCCTCTAAGTCTCACGAGGAGTGCCACGGGGGCCCCAAACAAAACCAAACACATGGAGACCATCACAAGGAGAGGAGGCGCCCCAAGAAGACGGCAGGGGCTCCACGAGATGTAGAGCTCACACTCGCCACGGGGTGCTCTCTCCATGCCCTGCTCCGGTGCCCTCTGCCCCCAAGGAGCCCTCCTGCCACGGCATGAAGCACCTGCCCCGCCACCAGCCTCCTTCATCCATTCCTTGGACCACGGGCACCTGGGGACAGGCCAAAGCGGCTCCAGAGCAGCAGCGTGGGGCCGACCCAGCCCTCTGGGGAGGAAGGGGAGAGGCCAGCAGCGCCCCTTCAACAGGCCCAAGTGCAACCCCCACTTAGTAACTGGGGGAACTAAGCATGGAGCAGAGGGGGCTTCATGTACCCCCACCCCCTGCTGTGGCCCAGGGTGCCCTGGTTCCCTGCCACCTCCCCTGGGGGAGGCGGGTGCCAGCAGAAGTTGCTGCCAAGGGGTGTGTGTGTGTGTGTGTGTGTGTGTGTGTGTGTGTGTGTGTATGTGTGTGTGTGTAGGAGTGAATATCTTTGTTCCCTCTGGCCTGAAGGAGCAGGTATGTTGGCTCATGACTGTCCCCAGAGACCCAGCCTTACACGCCTGGCCCAGGTCTGGAGGGAGGGGCCAAGGGGTCCCAGGAGGGTTGGGGAGGGAGCGGGCGGACCTTACCGGGGCTCATGGGGCGGCCCGCTCTGCTCCAGCAGCTGGAACTCGCAGGTCAGGCTGGCGAACTGGGCATACTCCAGCAGTCCGCTGACGGGATTCTTCAGGTGGCATTCGGCCAGCTTCTTGTAGGGCGAGCAGCGCGGCCAGCCGTGGCTGTAGAACGAGGGCATCTCCATGATGGCCCGGAACTCGCCGGGCGCCGTGTGGATGCTGTTCAGGTTGTCAGGGATGTCGTCAGTGGCCCACTGGCCGTTCTCGGCATCGGCGTAGCCGGGGTTTGAGGGGCCGTTGGGATGCGTGGGGGGTGGCTTTGGCTTGGGGGATTCGGCTGGCGCCTCCTGCCCGTTCTCCACCTTCACGGCCGTGGCCATGGGGACTTTGGGGGCAGTGGGGGGTGAGGGCAGCGGGCAGGCAGCGGGCTCGGGGTTGCGCCCTGCCCACAAGGTTTGGGCAGCGCCACGGGGCCCCTTGCGGAGCTGCAGCCGCGCCCGTTTCTTCTCGGTCAGGCACCAGACGTGGGTGGCGCCCCGCTGGCAGACGTCGCCCTGCTGCTCCAGGGCCAGCAGCGCCGTGTGGACGTCATGGTACTTGGCGAAGCCCAAGTTCTTGGCCAAGTTCACGATGGAGGAGTTGGCTGTGTCAAACAGGTAGTCACAGATCTTCTCCTTGAGCTCGGCCATGTCCAAGGGCTCAGGAGGACCCTGCAGGTCAGGTGTGGGGTCCTGGTCTCCAGTCTCCACGTGCCGGGCCCTGGGCCCGTGGGGACTGTCCCCGCTGCAGAGTGTCGGTGCTCCGCCCGGCCAGCCAGGTGGCTGGTGCCGAGCCTGAGGGGTGGTCGCGACCCTCCACAGGGGGGGCCTTCCTTCTTGCTTCAGGAGCCGCCCCTCCCTCTTCAGGGAGTACAGGATATGGTTGACGTGCGTCTTGGATATGCGCAGTCGGCTGGCCAGCTCCCTGGCGGTGGTGGCCTGGCCCTCACCCAGCTCCTCCAGCAGCGCCCAGACACGCTGCTCCTGCTCCTGGCCGATGCTCAGCTGCTGGAACTTCGAGGAGAGCTGGTCAAGGTCTTGCCGTGGCCGGGGCTGGCGGCCACGTTCCGGGTGGAGATACAGGTAGGTTTGTGGCAAGGAGCCTGGAGGTGTTTCGTCTGCGAAGCCCACAGAGAATCCAGGTGGCCAAGGGCCAGGCCTGGAGGGGGATCTGAGGAGCCGGGGCTGGAGTCCTGAGCAGGTTCCAGGAAGGGGTGCCGCAGGGCGCAGCCCCTTGAGGAACTCCACCTGCTGGAACTGGAAGCTTCCCGGAAGTGGGCTGGGCCAGGGCAGCGGGAGGCCCAGCCTGCTCTGCTCACAGCCCGGCACTGCCTGCAGCTGGCCCCTGTGCGGGGAGCCCTGCGGGGAGGAGGGAGAGAGAGTGAGATGGGATGCCTGGGGCCAGTCTCCACCCCTGGGCCCACGTCAACTCAGTCCTCAGGCCAAGAAGGTCAGTGGCGCCAAGAGCTGGTCCACCTCATGAGGACATGGAGGAGCAAGTACCAGGGGTGCCCATATCCTCAACAGTGCCTTCCCGCACCCTCAACCCCCTGTACTTTCCTTCCACATCCCAAATCATCCTTGGAAATTCAGAAAAACAAGCAGACCTGACTTTGACTTTAGAACCAACAACATCAGGACAGCATGCTCACCCTTCCTGGGGGCCAGGGACTGGACATCTCAAGCCCCTGGCACAATGGAGACAACTCCCCCCTGCCCCCATGCACTGCTACCCAGAGGAGGGCGGTGTCCCTAGGGAACTTGGTGTGGCACCCCAAGGCCATTCCAGGGCACTCAATCCCCAACGGCTGCCCCTGGCTCGCATCCTCCTGAACCGCAGTGGCTCCACATTCCATACACCACATGCCCACCAGCACAGGCGCTGGTTTGCACCCCTTGTCCCCATGTGCAGAATGCTGACCCTTAACAACACCGCCCCACCCCCTGGCAAAGGCAATCTCCATTCTGCAGGGCCCTGTGGCCCTCCACCAAAGCCCAGGCTGCAACATGGTCCCAGTTTCCCAGTCGGCAGCTTCTGGGTTTGGGTTCTCTCACTCTCTCTCGCGGTGCTGAGTATGAACTATGGAAAGGATGTTCTTCATGTCTGTGACTCGCTGTGGGAGCTCACCTCAGGCCTGGGCTGATGGGGACTGAACCCAGGTCCCAGGCCGGATGAGGCTCACACTGCACTTAAGCCGCGTCCCTCTGGGGCCTACGCTTGGCGGCTGTAGGGAGCACAGAGCAGCCCCTTCAGAATCCGGACCATCCTCTCCTACCACCACAGGGCCCGTTCCTGGGCTGAGAGTTCGAGGGTCTGCAGCCCAGCCCACAGCTCTGCTCACTGTGGCCAGCCACTAGGGCCAGAAACCATGCCCATGCCAAGCTTCCTCACCTCTGCCTGTGGCGGTGGACCATCCCAGCTCTGTGGGCCTTGTGGGGCGAACTCCCTTGGGACTACCACTGGCAGAGGCAGCCCCTTCCCTGTCTGGCACTCTTCTTCCCTTCGACTCTCCTAGGCCCATGGCTGGCGGGTGTTTAATGGCACAGGCCCTGAGGAAGGAGATGGCCATCTGTACCCTGCTCTCACGTGCCCACAGACAGGGCCGAGATTGACTCCAGGGGAAGCCCTTGGGGTTTCTATTCATGTCCCTAGCAACTACAACAGAAGCAGACTGGGGGTTAAAGTAGAGGGGTCCAAGCCTGGCAGAAGCATGCTGGCCAACCAAAGGCACACAAGAGGCCCGCGTCCCCCCCACCCCCATCCAATCCTCTCTCTGGTCCTGCTTCTCAGTCTGCCCAGAGTGGGCTGCACAAGGAGCTAGGAGAGCCTGGCTCAACCAGACAGAGCTCAGGGCCTGGTGGAAGATCCAGAAAATTCCTCTTCATGGCTCAGTTAAAAGAAATAGCTCTCCTGCATTCTAGATTTAAACTGCTACTATGTGGTCCACACTTGCAAAAATTATTTGCATGGACACACATAGAAGAGCTAGATAAGTTACACGCAGCCATGCGATAGGTCAGTACTCACCACTTATTTTTTTCTGAGCTGGGGTGGGGTGGGGGAATGCTGTTGTGAGGGCTGCACCTGGCAGTGCTCAGGGCTTACTTATTCCTGGCTCTGTTATTAGGAGTCACTCCTGGAGTACTAGGGTCAGCTGCAGAACTTTCTGGTTCCCTCACAATTAAAATAAAAAGCTGGGATGGGGGACTGGGAGCAGAAGGACAGAGTGAAAGCTTTGTGTGCTGACAGTGTAGTGGTGGGACACTTGCCTGGCACGCAGCTGACTTGGGTTTGATCCCTGGAACCTCATAAAGTTCCTGAGTCTCACAAGGAGTGATCCCTGAGCACAGAGCCAGGAGTCAGCCCTAAGCAGTGCCAGGTATGGGCCCCAAACCAAAATGAGTCAATTAAAAAAAAAATAAAAAGTACCCCAGGTGGCCTCAGCACGCTGGGCCCAAGTATCCACCTGCATAGAGCATGACTAGGAGTGGCCTGGGGAACACCCCCCCCCCCCACCACCACTTCCCACCCCAAGTGTTATGATCTATTTGCATTCATTCAGAGAAAACTTAGGAAGGGGTTGGAAGCCAGTTAGAAAACAATACCTATGCTAGAATCCCTTTTTGTAATCCCTTTTTGTAAACCAAAGAAACCCAGGGGGGCTGGAGCACAAGACAGATGTTTGAGGAAGGGGGGCAGGGGGGGGAAGGGAATGGTAGTTTCTCCTTTCTGGTTCAGTACTTCTCTGAAAAGTCAAGCTAAGCCAAACCTGCCCCTGAGAAGAGCCATTTGCACCTCCTCTATCAAGTCAGGGTCCCCAGTCTCTTGAAAGGGGAAAATAAAATCAATTCCATATTGTGATTTAAATAAAACATTCATACATGTTTTATACACACAAGCCCTATGTTTTACGGTGTTTACCCTTTCTGGAACTGAGGTTTAATGTACAAACATTTGATTTAACCTTTTCAGTGTGCAATTCTATGAGTACACTGAAATGTGTGTGATTTTTGTGTAGTGAAATCACAGATAACACATACAAGTCACAGGATAAAAATACCAGACGTTTCTATCTTCTCAAAAAGTAATCTTACGTTCTCTGTAGCCAGCTCCTTCCCTAAACTCAGCACCCCCCCCCAAACAGGTGTGGTTTCACCCCTTCCTTTCCCCCAGAACCTCCTGCACATGGCCCGGGCCACTGGTAGCTGCTCTGCTGGGCGGGTCGGGAGGTTGGTTGGGGTACGAGTCATGGCCCTGTCTGCACGGGAGATCCCAGTGCTGCTGAGAGAAGATGGGGTTTCCCATTGTTTAGGGACGGTGAATATGCCTGCTACAAAGCCTCCCTCCAGTTAAAATAGGCCATTTTTCATTTTACAGGAGCCTGCGGAAGTGGTAAGGCGCAGCGAGGCGGCCCTTGCTTGGGCCAAGTGTGCAGCCCGGGGTAGGGCTGGGGTACTGCAGTGGGTGTCCCTGGGATGGGCAGGCTCTGCTCTTGCTTATGGGAAAGGGGCGCCCTATGCCCCACACTAATCTGCCCGGCAGGATCTCGAGCCCTACTCTAGTGTGGCACAGAGCAACCCCCACCAGGGCCAGCCAGGGCTGGGCATGGGGCACCCATGATTTAGGAGGAACAAGAGGCGCCCGATGAGGAAGCTCCACGCAGCGGGAGGAGGTAAGTGTGGGGCTTACCTGCCGGGGTCCACGGTAGCCCCCGGGCATGTCCCGGCCAGTGCTGGGAGCTGCGAGCCCCCGCGTGCGCCGGCAGAGCTGGGGGTGAGGGGCGCATGGGAACCAGGGCGGGCGGTTACTGCGCGGGCTCGAGCGGGGAGGCCCAGACAAGCTTCAATTTCACTTTCGTTTCCCCAAGTTGAGTCGCTAGGAGGCGGGTGGGCGGGGCCGGGCAGGCACAGGCTGACCCCGCCCCACAGGCAAGGCTGGACAGGCGGTGCAGGGAGTGCATCGGACCCGCCAGTCTGCTGGGGCACACTGGATCCGGTAGGTGAGCGCGCACAGGACCCGAGCGGTGTGCTGGGGGCGCGCCAGAACCGGAGGTCTGCAGGGAGATCGCCCGCCCCCGCCAGGGCCAATCCACTGGGAGCGCGCAGGACCCGGGAGGTCTGCAGGGAGCAACCAGGGCCCGGGCGGTAGAGGTCGGCTGGGAGAGCGCCAGAACCAAGCCAATCTGCTGGGTGCGCGGCGGACCTCGAATGGTCTGCTGGGTCCCATAGGGGCGCCGGACCCAGGGCGGTCGGCTGGGTCCCATGGGGGCGCCGGATCCAAGGTGGTCTGCTGGGCTCTGCAGGCGCGGCTTGACCCTGGGCTGTCTCTAGGGATCTCACGGGGAGCAGAGCCTGGGAACGGGAGTGAGCGTGTGACCACTGCTAGGCTTGGTCTCAAGGTAAAGCACCGCCTGCTTGAGCAGGGGGTCCCTCAGCCCTTAGAGAGGCAGTGAGTCTCCGTGACCAATCAACCTGCACAAGCAGGCCTTGTGCCAGGGGCACTGATGGGGGAGCCCACGTGGCACCCTCACACCCCACGCAGCCATGGAGCTCCCACTCTGCTCTCTCCCTTCCCGGGCAGGTGTCCAAAGACAGTAGTGGGGAGGGGCCGGGCGGCAACCAGGGCAGGGAGGCATTTCTGAACCAAGGCAGTTTGAGGGGGGCATGGAGAAGAGAGGGACCAGATGATAGTACAGCGGCTTGCACATGCCTGGTCTAGGTTTGATCTCCAGCACTTCACAGGGTCCCCTTAACCACGCCAGGAGTTAACCCCTGAGCACAGAGCCAGGAGTCATTCCTGAGCACCGATGGGGGTGGCTTGAAAACAAAAAAGGGGTTGGATTGGGGAAGTCATTATTTAAAATCTGGTACATGTAAAAAGTTGCTTGCCCTGTTCTGGAAAAGTCTGGCCTCCACACAGCACTGCCAAGTACAGCCCCTCCCTGAATACCTGCGGTGGGCAGGGAGTAGGGGTGCCCTGGGTCCTGCCAGACCAGTCGTGAGCAACACTTGACTGTGCCCACTTCTGTGATGGCTGCTTTGGCTTCTCCTGGACTTTCTCTTTTTAAATTTTTTTATTATTT